CAGAGCCTACCACATCCTGTGCTGAAAGAGTTAAGCATAATTTTCCAAACAATGGCTGACAGGAAGATGGCCTTAAAGATGCCTCTGGCATACACAGCATTCAGGTGGATTTCTGTTTTCCTTTCTACCCATGAACAGGCCAAGGGGGAAATGCACTGCAGAGAACTCAATAACTAGGTTGTAAGTTGAGTTTTCCATGCAGGTTATATAAATTCTGGCCAGACTTTTAATGAAACTGCTTATTACTCTGTTTTGAGAGAGGCTGGTGCATCTTGGGTCCTGCTGTTTGAGATGTTTGCTGTTGTTCACAAAAGCACCTACTTCTGGCAACAGCTTGTAATTTAACAATATGCTTGATTACAGATGGCCACTGCACGATACCCTTTGCAGCATGAATGGAGCTGCACAGTAAGCGTGATGTCTGGTAAAACAGCAGCTTGTGAATGTGTATTTTTCTCCCTTATTTTCCAGTTCATGCACATAAGTACCATTGTATTCATCGAGCAAAAAGTGCTAGTTGCATTCTTCATCTCAGCAGTGCCTTGCCTCCCAGTATTGGGAAGGGCTAAATGATGTTGGGATGAGGTTTTTTTTGTCTGCTGTGATTAGGTCAAATATGTATGCGATTTGTTCTCCTTCTGCTAAAGGAATCTGCTAGATATTTTTATCCTTGAGAGGCCACATGCTTAGTTTTGTTCTGGTTAAGCACAAGTATGTCAGAAATAGTTATTTCTTCTGCTTAGAAGGGAGAATTTTGCCTTGTTGTAGTGGATAAGTTTTTACCCTTTCTCAGTGCAGGCAGTCATCATCCTCTTTCTTAGCAGTCTGTTACATTAATGTAGCTGCAGCTGAGGTGATGTGTGTGAAGAGGGTGGAGGGACGGTGGGAATTGATGTGACTTCAGGTACCTAAAAGCTGCCTCTCAAATGGGGGATGTGCAAGTCTTGTGAATCCCCTGTCAGGGAGCACACTCCAAGGTAAAGCGAGCAGTTCGTTCTTTACTGTTAAAGCCTGCCTGGGTTAAAAATATGTTACTTTCTTGCTTTGCTGCATCCTATTTCAGAAGAGGGAGTGAACAGTCCTGTATCAGAGTGCTCTGCTGCCTTTTTCCCCCTCGTTTCCAGCAGTGTTTCTTGGCCATCCGTCGTGGATTTACTATGGATTTACTAGGTTGGATTTACTATGAAGGACTAAATAGCAAGCTGCATCAGTGGCAAGGAGGTAGTTTTACTGTGGGGAGAAATCAAACACATCCATCTGAAGATGCTTCCTCTCTTTAAACCTTCCAGTGCAACTTGCCCTCTTGATGGATGAGCTGCTAGTTTTATTTTCTGTGAAAACTCCTTAGGTCATTCATTGATGTAGTGTGGTCACTCAGGTGTGATACTTCCACTATCCCGAGAGAAGCTGCTCGGGTATCAGTGGGAGGAACCATATCAGGATTGTTAACAAGACCCTACTTTCCCAAAATGTTCTAGCTCCTCCATGTTAGGAACAGGTAAGGAAGAATATGTTGCCTTATTTTGGGATGATTTCACGTACAGCAGGCACATCTAGCTGATGTGAAATGAATCTTGAGTTGAAAAAGCTGCTTGTTGTTGAATAGAGGCAGTGACTGACCGTGAGGGGTTGCCTTCACTTTAGGCATTTTTCTTTCCTCACAGCTGGGTGGGTGAAAAGTCTGCCTTAAAGCTCTGTAGTTTTAATTCTGTGTTTCCTATTAACAGGGTCACCTTGTCCTCCACGGACTGTTACATTGTCCATGAGATCTACAATGGAGAGAACGCTCAGGACCAGTTTGAGTATGAGCTGGAGCAGGCCCTGGAAGCGCAGTACAAATACATAGTGATAGAGCCCACTCGCATTGGGGACGAGACGGCCCGCTGGATCACTGTCGGGAACTGCCTGCACAAGACGGCCGTGCTCGCGGGCACCACCTGCCTCTTCACCCCTCTGGCACTTCCAGTAGATTATTCTCACTACATCTCCCTGCCTGCTGGTGTGCTGAGCGTGGCTTGCTGCACCCTTTATGGTATCTCTTGGCAATTCGATCCCTGTTGCAAGTACCAAGTAGAGTACGACGCCTATAAACTTTCCCGCCTGCCCCTGCATACGCTCACCTCCTCCACTCCGGTGGTGCTGGTGAGGAAGGACGACCTGCACAGAAAGAGACTGCATAACACGATAGCACTCGCCGCCCTGGTGTACTGTGTAAAGAAGATCTATGAACTCTATGCTGTATGACTTCAGCAGGGAAGAGAGAAACTCACAAAGACAAGTGTATTAAGACTCCCACAGTAACATTTTGTTTTTCCTCTTTGAGAAGCAGTGGAGACTGGGAAGGATTTGGTTTAATAGAGCTGTTATTTTTAAAATAACACATCACTGGTGCACCAAGGTTTTTCAGTTCTTCGTTACACTTAAGATGTGGATGTGTGGTGATTTGAGAGGTGTATGTTAGGCCATGGGAGTCCAATCCAGCAGAGGAATGTCGATGAAAGAAAGCTATAGAAAGAGGGGGTGTGAGAGCTTCTTTTTTTTTTTTTTTTTTTTTTTTTTTTTTTCTTGGAAACATTTAAGTATATTGTTTAATTGTATTACACAGAACCAGCCAGAAGTTATCATTGACCATTAAAGGATGAGAATTTCAAATCCTTTTGCTCTCTTGTTACTGTTATCATAGTTCCCTTTTATAGTGTGCTTCCAGGGGATGGAGGCTTTGCGATGAGAACTTCAGCAGTGATAATTATTTATGCAGGCCTCCATGCAGACCTCATTCCTCTTGTCCGTTGCACATGGCAGCAGCGCCCGCCCTTGTTACTTCACAGCAGCCATCTGTTGAAGGAATACTTGTAGAGTGTTGCTTTCCCTCTTGCTTGACTAGTTGTGTTTCTTGGAAGACACTTATTTGTTATCCCAGTTTTTAGATCTTTTTGGCAATTGCTTAAACATTGATGGCTGGAGCTAAAGGTGTCCAAATCCTCTGCTGCCCTGCCGCCTCCAGCCATTACTGCTCTGCACAGTGGAGGTAACACTGTAAGTTGCCATCTACAAACACCTTCTGCTCCGTTCCTGTACAAGTTCTTTCTAACGTGGACACCCCTCCGCTGAAACGTGTTGTGCCACGTGCAGCTGAGCGCTGCTGAGGTGGGAGTCCAGCTGCCTTGTCTTTGTGCTTTTGTTACCGCTACAGCCGTGCCCCGACTGCACAATTCCACTGCTCTTGCTTGGAACACGCATTCTGGAGCTGCCGGCTGCTGCTGCAAGGCATCCACGTGATTGTATCTTGTAACTGTGCTCTCTGAAATTTTAGAATTCACTCTTGTGCATTAATTCATCTTTTAGCTCAAAACTGTCAGAATCTCGTTCTTAGAATGGGAAGTATTTACTGTTTTGCTAGATCTTGCCAGTTACTTTTTAAAGATGGGGGCTTGCTTTCTATAATCTCCTCCTACCAGATGGAAAATTAGGTGTGGCTTGCATTTGTAAGGCCAGCTTGGCACCGCTTCAAGTGTTACGATGTGAACGCAAGAGCAAAGCCATGTAATAAAAACTGCCAGCACACAGGTGTACTGCTTGCTTCAGCAGTACTTGCAGCCTGACCTCCACAGCTGAAGCACTGACCTTGGAAGGGAGTCTCATGAGTTCAGAAACCAAATTCGGTAGTTCTATCTTTATCTTTTGAAATTGCAACAGCAGGCACCAAGATCTCCTCCTTGCCTCCCGACTGCAGCAGGCTTTTCTGGCCGCAGTTCCAAGTTGTGCTTTTCTGCTGATGCAGCTTTTGTGGGAGCAGAGTGTACATCCCAGTCATGTGTGTACTGGGCAAATGAGGTTTGCTGGGAACTCTGAGCAAGTACTTTTACCACCTGAGCAGGCGCATGGGCTGGAGGAAACTCCAGTGGCATCGAGACATTTCTAGGTGGCGGCAGCCCTTTGCCTCTTTTGCTGGTACAGTGGCCGAGTTGTCTCTCTCCAAGGTTAAAAGAAGCTGTGATCCAGAGCGTCTCTATTTATAGCAACAATGTACAGTTGCCTTGGCAGAGAGGAGGGGAAGAAACACATCTACTTCATCTTTCTGTGGTTAGGCCAAGACTGCTGAGCAGGATGCCTCCCGAGGCCTGATGTTTGTTTCTAAGGTCCCGTCTCCTGGATGAATTTTAAACTAGTGGCAGATGTGCCGTAGCTAATACGTACTTTATTGCTGCAGAACACCCTGAAATATCCTTGTGCTAGCCACACAAAAGACATTTCTCTTCTTGTTTTAATCAATGCAGAGTAATCGTCAGGGCTGCTAGTTCCTTTGCTTCACCAAACCTCTGTGGCTTTGGCAATTTTTGTGTTAAGCTTTCCCTTGCCTGGAACAATCACTCTGGCAGAAGAACTCACCCTGGGTAGGCTCCCTAGACATGTGGCTTGCATTGAAGACTCGAGTTAAAAATAAGCAAGCTTCCTGGGGTCTCTTATTGCAGGAAGAAAGGTGGAAAGTCAGCTGAGCTGTCACAATAAGGTAAGTCTGTTTTAAAAATGCACCCTTCATTCTGAGGTGGAGAGAACATAGATCATAGATGGGGGGTAAAGGGGCTTGTTTTCTGATAAATACTAGTGATAATCTAGCTAAAATGCTTGGTGACATCCTGGCTGTTAGTGCCAGTAGCTGTGGGTTACAGTGGCTGGGGACACGTCTCCCTTTGCTGCCCATCCTGACCGTTACAGACATGCTCTGAAACAGCGCGTGCTGCGTTCCTCTCGTCACAAAGAGGGAATTGACTTTCCAAGGGGGAGTGTGCACACTCTCAGTAACCTCTGACCTGGAGCTGGAGTTCAAACAGTAACTACAGTAACTCCCCACATGTCATTTTTTTTCTTTTTTTTTTTTTTTTTTCCCCTCAGGCCTGATGTGTTGCACCCCTCAGCACCCTGGATGCAATAGAAATGCAAAGCGGCCCCTCGGTCCTACCTGGGTAGCCATGACTTGAAACACCAGAAGACCAAGCAGCTGGACAAGACTGGCAGGAATGCTGTATTTTGCCAAGAAATGGAGGACCTGAACACGCAAAACGAGAAAGGAAAAGCGCAACTAATGCTTACAGAAATTCCCCCTGTGGAGAGAGAGAGAAGATAATGCCTTGGTTTCCTGTCTTAACAGGAAAAGAGATATGTACACCCGAAAGCTTCAACTTGTAATTTCAACCCCAGGCCTTTATGTAACAAATCTGCAACCTCAGCTACAGTGAAAATAGTAGAGGGTGTCCTAACTGAGCAGCAGCATTGTGATTGTTAAACATGTCCTGGGCATCATCTGGGATGGATTCTCTGTGATGGATTCTCTGTGATCATTTATAAATCTGTAGTGGTCGAGAAAAGGCTTTTTGAAGAAGGGCCTGCTGAGCCTGCACACCTGTATCGGCGTTTAATGTGACTAATCCTCTGTGTGGATTCACACTTTATCTACTGTAAGCTAGATGATGGGAAGCGGGCTGGCATGAAGTATGTTGTTCTGCAACTACTACTGGTACAATAGCACCCTGCAAAAATGTAAGAAAAGAAAAACAAAACTCTCCTGCTTTCCCTTCCTCTAATGTTACCTGCTGTGAGGAGCTGAGTAGAACAAAGGATTAGTTTCATAGCGATGTAATTTATTTGTCATCAGCTCTGTGCTCACAGGCAGGACAGACAAGGCAGTGGAAAATGCTGGTAAGTGCATGGAGGTGGCAAGAGGGTCTGTACCTTGATTCCTGTTAGTAGGCTTTATTTCAATTATATGTTAAAAAATATTATTTCTGTCCTTGCTGAACTATCTCTGTGCAACCCCTCCTTTTACCTTGTGGTGCTGGTATCCCTCACATGAGAAGGGGCGAGGAATGCAATGCAGCACTCCCTCAGGCTGTCAGACTCCCTGAACTCTGTGCTATGTGAACAGGCATGTATCATTCCCCCACCAAATGTGATCCTAATTAGCACCCACGATTGCTTTAAAACAGATGTGAACTAGGGGTTTCTCTCCTATACTGTCCATCCCATGCACACAGATTCTCCTCTGCTTGCCAGGAGACGGCGTGCCTGGCACCTGCAGAATCGCACTGACTCTGGGCTCTGGGCCTGCAGGAGCTACAGCTGCACAGTACTTACACGAGCAGCATACCTTGCTGTGATATTTTCTATCTGTTTGGTGCTTCCCCTGCATTAATTTGTGCAGGGGTTAATACTGTACTGTCAGGTAGTGCAGTGTGTCCCTGTACATCAGAAAGGCATGATTCAGACAGACAAAATAAATGGCCCAATAAAACTTAAATTTTACATCAGTTACTTCTTTAAAAGTGGCACTGGACTTGGCTTTAGCTTTACATAACGGATGGTTTGGCACGTTGACAAGCAGAGGCTCTGTGAAGTTTCCCACTTCAAGCAACGTATTCTAGATCAGATTGGAAGGAGTGGGAAGGAGATGCTGATCACGAGAGCTCCCAGCTGAGGACTATTTCACAGGGGCTGCGGGGTGGGGAAAACTAAGATCTGCTTATGTGAAGGCAAAAAAGTGGGTTTTATTTGTAGCAGGCCAGCAGAGCTGAGCATGCCTGGAGTCAGGTGAGGTGGTGTCTTTCAGCCCATGGGCCTCCCCTTCTGCCAAGCGGGTTCCCTTGAGTTCCCCTCCCTTGAGGCCTCAGCTTCTCCCCCTTTGTCCAAGCGCCCTTCTCCAGGTGAGGTTTAGGTGCCATCTTCCAGCAAGTTGCCCTGCCCTCACGTGGGGGAAGCCACCTCCGTGCATTGGTAAATGGCAGCGTTTTGAGAAAGGTTTTTCCTGCAGAAGCACCTCCACCCGTGTCGCAGCCAAACTGCAGGGGGTTAGCCTCTCCCCACAGTTCCTGCTCTAAGGAGCTGAGCTCTAAGAGTCCTTTGCTTTTCTCTCCTTTTTTGCTCTAGCTGCCATTAAGGTGAAGAAGAACCTGGGGAAGAGGTTTCGCAGGTAGATGGCCAGCGAGGGTGTCAGGCCAGCTACAAGTACTTCCTTCTTCTTCTGTCCCACTGCATTGAGAACCACCCGAGCGACCTCCGCGGCTGTCTGTCCTTCAGCGGTGTTCTTGTCCATAACTGCCAAAGGAAAGCTGAGTCAGCACCAACGCCAGCAGGTAAGCCCACACGTAAGTACCCTTCCTAAGAATGCTCTGTTCTAACTGTACATGGCTGCTTGTCTGGGTTTGATTTTTACACCAGTTGTGTGTGGGAACACAGGCAGGTATAATTCACGGTTAGGCTACAAGTCAGCAGTTAATCTTTAGGAGGGCTGAATTTTGGGGGTTACTGTTCGTACTCTGCATCCAAAGTTGTCTTGAGATATTTGGGGGCTAACCCGTGTCCCCACTAGAGGCCACGTGTTGCGAGCACACTTTGGAGCAACTCGGTGAGATGGAGATGCTTTAGATAGAGGGCACAAAATTGTATCTCACCTCCATAGCGAGATCCATCTGCTGTTACAGCATTGAGGGAGAGGTTTGTCTGAATGTACCCGGGGCTCACAACTGTCACATCAATGTCGTACTGTTCCACCTCTGCTCGTAGACAATCAAAGAAGGCCTGGGTAGCATGCTTAGAGGCAGCATCTGAAAAAACAGGAAAAGGACTGTGTACTGAGGAAAAGGAGCAGGGCTGAAGGACCCCGCATGGGTTTTTCACTGCAATGCAGCCACTTCTCTGCAAGAACCCAGCAGCTGTTTTCCAACTTCTAGGTTTGGGTTTTTTTTGTTTTTTTTTTTTGGTGAATGGCAGCAACAGGTAGTGGGAGTGAGAGGCAATTTAGGAAGGCAAAATGTAAATACTCAAGTTGAAAACTGGCTAGGATCCTGAGCTTAATATCACAGCCATGCCAAAGCACTACAGAGTGAACCCAGGCTGCCTCCCACTCGCAATAAAGGAGCCGTGAAGCCTGGCTTGGGAAGCATTTGATAAGGGGCTGGGGGACCGCGCTGCCAGCACGGGAGGGCAGAGCTGACAGCCGCTGCCGAGCGCCCTGCTGCCCTACGTGCACTGAGCACCACGGGCTTGCAGAGCAGGTTCAGTGCTGGGCTGCACACAAGTCAAAACCCGATCACAGGAGTAGAGAAGTGTGGCCTAGGGCAGGATTCCCCCCTGTTAAATAGCGCAGCGGCTCCTCTTGCTCGCTCCCTTTCCGTGTGGGCTTGGTCGCTGCTACCGTGACTGCCATCACCTCAACACGGCTGCAGGGTTGACACCAGCAGCACGGAGCTCAGCGCGGGCTGCGTCCCTGCCCGAGGACCTAGGCAGGAGCTGAGCTCCACCCTGGCAGGCCCGTGCGGCTCCGGGCACTGCGCAAGCGCTCTGCAATATCCTCAGGACGCGCTGCTTGGTGCGGTCGTACCCACATCAGCTGCAAGACCAGATGGCCCGAACCTTCCAGGCTCTCCTTCACTCAGCATCGTGCCCTACCACTATATATGCCATCACCACTGTACTTTTCCATTTTTAACGTTTATTTTCCGTGATTTACAGATGCTTGTACGCCAAATGCTCTCCTATTAGCTCCTCCCCTTTTTATAAGGTTTTTTCCAGTAATCTCACCAATATTATTTCTTGTCAAAACTGATTCAGCATGAAGAGTTTGCTGGATCAAGATAACTGTTCAGGCTTTTATTTTGGCATTGGTTGTACTACGGCACTTCATAGCTTATTAAAACAAAAAGTTCCTACTTTCTTATAGGAAATTAAGCAGGCAAACAGCACAGATAAAATGCAATAATATTATGGAATTAATCAGAAAGTTTATAGGGACTCTCAGGTGTTGAGACAGGAATATCAAACTGTTTCCAAACACTGAAAACATATTCTCCTCCCCCACTGCTTAACAACTCTAGGACAGGGCTAATATTTTTGTATTTGAGAGTGCCTTCCTCAGCAGCTGTCAGTGATTTCTGACCACACTAAATGATGCACAGCTCTGCCTTCCCTGCATGCAGCCAGCTCTACAGAGAGCTAAATGTGGAAGCAGTAGCCAAGTATTCATTCAGTCTGCTGCCCCAAATATGTCTTCCCCATCTTCTGTGGAGGTACTTACATGCGGATCTGAAAGGAATGCTTATTTTGCCTTGAACACTGCTGATGGCCACAATGTGGCCTTGTCTCCTCTTGATCATGGAGGGGAGAAGCGCTAGCAAAAGACAGAAAAGACCCATTCAGAATGAAAGTCCTGCCATTACTGCTGTCAAAGCATTCAAAGGTGCTTAAGTGAATTTCAAGATCCTTGTTCAGTGCAGGGGTTGGGCAAGGGATAGTGCTTAGGCTGCCTCTGACTGACGCTGCAGTCTGGCTGGGACATTCACCTCTGAGGAGACTCTTTGCGCCAGCGAGGCGGAACAAAGGCTGGTACAGTTGCTCTCGTCTCCCCCAGGACTTGTTCTTTTCTGCCACCAGAACATCTTTCCATTTCCTGCAGCTGACAGCCTCCAGGCAGAACTTTCTGGGTAAGCAAAGAAGCTTCCTAGGAAAGCTACAGCTTCACCTAGAACTCGTACTGCGTTCTCTAGTGATTTATCAGCACAGACAGGCTAATCATATTTCTCTTCATGAGTTCCTGCCAGGCTAGAGTCTGGAGGTGTTTTAAACAAGATGGTATCTCTAATTGGGTACTTCCTGTGCAGTCATGCCCAAGCATCTCCTTTAGACCTGCCCCTAAACCAAAGCTTTCCTCCCCTCTTATACAGTACTGTACCAAATACAACTACAAACAGAAGTTAAGCTGTGCTTAGTTGTGTTGGCCTGCAGAAGGTATCAGTCAAATCCATTGTCCCCCTGTAATCCAGATCATGGGTACCTTTGGTGAGGGCTATAGGACCAAAATAATTTGTTTCCATCACTTTCTTATCCACATCCAGTCCTGTGTCCACGATCGTGCCTCGGAAGCTGATGCCTGCATTGTTGATCAGTATGTCCACGTGACCCAAGTACTTCAGGATCTCTTCAGCAGCATTTAGGACAGTTTTAGTGTCTGAGAGGTCAAATACCACGGTGTGAGGTTTGTGTGTCTGTGAATAAACAAAAGTTAGCAAAATACCAGCTCAGGCTGTGCTGAATGTGCTGTATTTTCACACTTAGGATGGGATTTCCCAGCTCTGGAAACCCTGAAGCAGGGCCATTGAAACCTCGTGCCATTGCAGTGCAGCTGTTCCATTTGGCAGGAATACCTGACAGAAGCAGGTTGTACTCTGGTCTTTCTCTGCTCCTGTAGCCTGTACCTTATACCAGAGCCTAGGAAAGGGGCAAGTGAGATTCTCCTCAAGTACTAAAGTTTCCTATTGTCTTATTAAAGAAAATGCATCCAAAAAAGTCAAAAATTTAACCCTTGTGCCTTCTACAGAAGCCACCAAGACCTGTCTTAGCCACTGTCAGCAGAACTAGACATAAAAAATAAAAGCTAACAGAAGGAAAGCCATTTTTCCAGATTCAGTATATGACACACAGATGCCAGGGGTCTGGGCACTCTGCACTTGCATGCTTTCACTTCTATTACAAGGCAAGGAGACTTTCAGATGGCTTATTTTTGTAGGATTTTTACAAGATATGACACGTCAGTGCAATGTACTCCTATAGCAATATCTATCCCTAACCACAGAGTTGCATTTTTTCTATTGCTCAACAGAACGACCCACAAGCAATTCTGGAAGTTCTGTAATAACATGAACAGAAATCGCAGCCAGACAAGAAGCCTCTCCTTCTCCCACACTTACGTTCTTTTGGTGATTGGTCACAGTAGAAAGCTGCTGCACCAGGTCTTGGAGCTTCTTGCTGTCTCTGCCACAGAGCACCAGCTTGGAGCCAGCTGCGTGGAAGGCTTTTGCACATTCTTTGGAGGAAGCAAGGAAGACAGAGAAGTAGACATTTGAATGACAAAGAGCAGATCCACATCATACCTGGTGCTAGGCTAAAACTTCTTTTAGCTGGCAAGGGTCTGAGGTGGCTTTATGACTCCTCAGCGACCGTGTGAGTTACAGTGAAGTCCCAGCAAGGTGCTGTTTTCCTGTGACTGACAGACACGTGACTGCAGGGAGGTGGCTGATGTGTTCACGGTCACCGTGCTGGTTATACAGTTGTGCTGTTTACTCATCCTCCCCCATCAGTTGGTCAGATTTGCCTGTGCCTCTTCATTTTTGTCTAGATGCTCTTCTTAAAAGGGACTATAGTTACCTTGTGTATGTCATCTAATGCAATGGGGCCTGGTCTTAGGAGTTTCAGTTTTAGTGAACACCTCCAAGGGGTTTGGAAACCTCTGGAGATAATGGCTTCATCACGGTGATCCTCTTCATCAGGAAAAGGCTGAAGGGGAAATGCTGTGCTATTGTCCTTCCAGTGCTACCAGCTGCTGAGTCAAACACATGTTCTTCTACTCTCCCCTTCTGTGATCCAGTGAGACAGACCCCTCATTTGTGCAAGAGATGACAGGGGATGGCAATGAAGGGTGTTTAAGAACACACAGTAATTATGAGTGGTCTAGTACATTAATAACCAGGAGGGGGAATCGTGTAAGATCTTGGCAATGAGTCCATAAGGGGGGAAACTTCCCTGAGCAATGGTGGAAATCTGTAACCCAACACCACACAGCACTTCATCTGCCCAGCCTATCCCAGCTGGAAGGTCCCTCCTGAGACACTAGTTCTATCTCTTCCTGATGCAAAATACAAGTTCTTTTACCACTCCCAGAATTTTGGTTCTGACAGGCAGAGAGGACAATTTCATCTCCTTTGGCCATTCCGTTACTGAACACCCCTATCCTTAAGGACAAACTCGCGTGCAAAGACAGCACCAATTTAAGCTTTATTTGTTCTATAAACGTACTCATACTAATGAAAGGCCTTGATAGCAGAGAACACCTTGTCTTTTCTTCAAGAAGCTTTTAAAGCAATTATAGAAAGCAAAATTAGACAACATATCCTCTCAAAGAATACGTTTTATTTGGAAAGAAAAAATACTCACTGGTGTTAATATTGCCAAGAGTTTTGAATTTAGAATGGATGGATTTGTACCGTAAGAGAAAAGGTACCTTAACTTGAGGGTGAGGGGCAGGGAGAAGGAGTGGAAATTATGGCAGGATGTCTGGAAATACAACAAACATGAACGCAGAACACCAGTTCTGGGAAGCTTCACCAGTTCTGGGAAGATTTAGAGAAACAGTTTGACTTCCTGACTTTTTGAGGATTTAGAGAAAAAAGACCCCTGACAGCACAAGAATGGCATAACTTGTTCCTTGCTACGATGAGCTCCAGTTTGTACCGAATTATTAAAATTTTTCTTAACAAATTTTGAGATTTTCTTGCATCAAAATTTGCACTGGCTATAATTACAACTGATATGGCTGTGCAAGCTATGTCTCAAAATTCAGAGCAATAAGAACTTTCTGCTCATTACTGCTTTATTCCAATAGGTGCCCCTTCCACAAACCTCTGCTTGTCCTGCCTTTGGTGCTCTTCTTTCGGTACCTACCTTTTCCCAGGCCAGAGGTAGCCCCTGTGATCACAACCACTGCTTCCTGGAGGTAAGCTCGCATCCGCATCCACTGCAGTAGCCGAAAAAGGGCGAAGATCCCCAAGCTGCCACAAAGCAGCGGGATGATGACTGTGCTCATGAGATCCATGAGTTTTCCTTTCTGAACGGTCTTCCTAGAGCCACAAGATGAAAGGAAACAGACCACTTCATCATCAAGAAAATTAGCTGAGGCTTGACAACTAGGGAAATCTGTTCTCTTCCCCCTGCCCTAGACCACCAATTAACCAAATCCCATGCAGAGGTATCTTCAACAGACTTCCTCCTTCCTTCATTTAGGCTTTCAAAAGTTCACATCCATACGCAATTTTAAGCATTTAAATGCTAATCTGAACATCCCAGCAGGGCACTTGGTGTTGGATCTTGTCAGCTGTCATGTAACAAACTTGGGTTCAGAGACCCTGTTCCCACATTTTGCTCTAGATTGTACAAAGTATATTTAGAATGAAAGCTCCTCAGGGCTGGGATATGTCTCTGCATTCTTCTGATTGTAATAAAACCTCTTAGATTTCTCTAGAACAGCCAGTACCACAGTATCTACACGACAGAGAGCAGTTACTGTGTATTATCCCAGATGGATATAAGCCAGTCTATCTTCTGGAGGCTCAGAGTAAGTTGTCTCTCTGAGCATGTTATTTGCTTAACGCACTGAAATCTGCGCTTTCATCTCCACTGTCTTTCACCACCTCTTAGTAGAGACAAGTTATCTGATTTTGATGAACCACATGTCCAATATATTAAGATAAAGCTTATTTTTATGCCAATGTTAATTGTGCAGTTTAACAGCATCAATCTGTGTTCTAATGTACTCAAATTAAACCTGTGAATGAAACCCAAGCTAACGGTACCTATGAGACCTGGCTCATCCTGGAATTGGATTCTGATAGCAATACATAGCCCTAATCTCCTTGCTAAGCCACTGCCTTCAAGGGAGTAGTTTATGTTACAGCTTACTACATGGCCAAAGTGTAAGTGATACTTCTGTAAAAGAGATCACTAATTTTCCCACTGTATATACGCCCAAGCTCTTATGACAGTAAAGTCTGTTACAACCCCTTCCTGTAATCTATACAACTTTTGGGTCACACACAAAGTCAAAACCAAGGAGCAGTATATCTTCCCTGTTGTGCAGAAAGAGTTTGAACTCTTTCAGTTTGACCTGCAAGATAGGCCTTTACCAGGAAGATATTGGAAAGGTCTGGGCACACAACTCAGACTACTTCAAAAAAAAAAGACAGCACGAGTGACATAAAGCAAGAGGTAACTAGTAATGCTGAGCCAGAATTCAGTGTCGTTAAGTAAACTGAGCTTGTATGGAGCTGAAGGGATGACAGAGGCTCTACATGCTGTGGAACATATCAGGGTCTAGCAGATTTCCACTGGGGGCATGGACAGAATTCCTGAAGTAGCTGGTCAGTGAACAGACTTGCTGAACCAGTAGTGAACTGCATAAAACAAGTAGTTCTGGAGGTATTGCTAGAACACAATAAAATACCACGTACAGACAGCTGAGCTAGCTCTAAATAGTGACAAGGTCTAAAAATAAACCCATCAAGTTAGTATACAGCTCTTCTCAAGGTACTGTGGAGCTTCCCACTCCTGAGCTAACTCGTGTATCTACAAAGTACTTCATTGGGTCATACACTGTGCCTAATGCCAGGCCACAAGCTCCCCCGGGCACAGGGAGTATGCCCAGGGTGGGAAATCAGAAACCCAAAAGGAAAATTAAACTTAATGCATTGCAAAGCAATGTGTGAGCACAGCACCCAGCTTCTCAGTCTCATTCCTCCACCTCTCTGTGCTGAGCACACACAGAGCGTGCCTTTTGTACTGATTCACAGCAGAGGACTGGTAGAGTTGATTTAACGTAAGAGTGTGTATCGCTCCTAAAATAATTCCTGGGAAAGAGCTGTTTAGACACAAGAATGAGATTCAGGAGACGAGATGTGGGCAGGGATAGCAGGTGCTGTGCTGACACTGAGCAGCGTTGCTTACAGGTTATTTTGGAATCAAAAATCTTCAGCTCCCATTTAGGACCTTTTTTTATTTCCAAAGTGGGAGCTGACAGGTGGAGTGGCACTTCCTTTAGGAGCCCGTCTTGAAGGTAAGGCATTTTAAAAATCTGGTCCTGACCAGCTTTGCTTCTGATTTCACTAAAATGCAGATGACTGTAAAGCAGATGAAAAGGTAACCGGGAAGAGGAGGCTTTTCTGAAACATTTTCTAACTAAACCACACTAGGAGATGGGAGGGAGTCCCTTGTTTGATTACAGCACGGTCCTTTCCCCTTCTTTGGCAAAAATAAAGGTTGAATTTGCAAGGACTGAACTTTCTGCCACAGGGGCTGGTGGAAAAGAGCCCCACCTTACCAACTAAAAGCTGCCTGTGTTTTGGTGAGGTAGCATCCATTGCTCATCAATATGAACCAGTTATGCCTGCTTAACTTATTCCTTAATTGTATCACTTATTTATCTACCTTCTAGAAGTAGAAAGGCTGACAAAGAAGGTCTGCCTTTAATCCTTTTTCATTTGAAAAATCTCTCCTAGCCTTTTACTGTTTTTCTTTCTCTTCCCTGCCCACCGATGTTATATACAGGAACTGGGCAGATTACCCAATCGCTGCCCTAAGGCTGCAGCAAGCCACTTTTGCAGCTTCCAGGCTGGAGGTCAAATTAACAGGTAACCACCTCTGATGTAAGGGGAGGGGAAATATGGGACAGGAAAGAGAAAGACTGGACGAGGGAGGGGAGCAAGAGAGAGAAGGACAAGCCAATCAGAGATGTAGATCCTATTTTATTAGGGCATACAGTTGCAGTAACTTCTTCCAAGGAAGGTACTCAAATGGCCCCTTCAAAAGAGCCCCAAAACAAAGAAAATCTCAGTTCAGTCAAGCGTGAGAAAGAGGACAACCTAGCCAAACCAAATTAATTTGGAAAGAAGACAGAGTTCCTGTAGTACTTCAGACCTACAGCAGCAACTTTTTCTTTGATTTCATGGACTAGCTTATACCACAAACCCATGAGTCCTTGTTTCAGCTTGTCATATTGAACATGCTTTAAAAAATTAGTGATAAAATAAGTATCAGTGGAACAGGAGAACATGGAAATCAGCTCAAATCACAGAGCCACACTGCAGTATGTTCAACAATTTCCATCTTACAGAGCCCAGTGCCAGGCTACTGACACAACAGGGTAGAAGTTACATTCTGTTCAGTTTTCAGGGTTATTTGGTGGAAAGGCCAAAGGAAGGAATTACTGCAACCTGAAGGAAAAGTCATATTCTGTTCAATATTAGGGTTATTTGCTGCAAAAGCCAGAGGAAAAAACTGCTGCTATCTGAAGAATGAGCTAGATTGTAAATACAAAACCCTTGATTCACATCAACAAAAGTGCAAGGCAAAGGCTGAGAGAAGATGACAAAAAGAAGAAAACCCAACTTAAGATAGGTAACGCTTGAAAATACCTAAAGATGTCCCAGGGCAAATAACACCATGTCACATTATAAACATGGGAGAGGGTGGGGAACACAAGGGTTTCCACGCCTAATTCGAGATGAACTGGATATCCTCAGACATCTTGCTTAAAGGTCTGAGACCCCATAAACACCTTTGTTCTAAAATGTTGGTATTCACACCAAAAAAACCTGTTATTAATTCGTAATAGATAATGTTTATGACACCAGGCTATTGGCAGGAGAGAAGCCGCTGCTCATAATTGGTTCAAATAAAGTCCTGTAATTCTCAGTTCTCCATCCTGAATGGCAGGGTTGGAACATGCAGGTTATTAGAGAGCAGAAATAAAAACACCAATAATGTAAGCAAATACAGGTGATTGGGAACTTTTTGAAAGGCTTGCCACAAAATAAATCACATATACCCACTTAAAAAAAAAACCTTTCCCCTTAAAACAAAAACTGGGTGTTATCCCATAAAAGCCAGGACAATGATTTCTGAAGGAACAAGGGTCTTAGTTAATAAGGTCAAGAGTGCACTAAAGGCAGCAAAGACAAGACCGAGTGCTGAAAGAAACTAAGCCCGTGGTAGTTTCCCTAAACAACACCTATTCTCCTTCAGCTTCAGCCACCTAGAATCACATTGTCCTTTACATGACAAATGACAGCAACTGGGAGGCTATTTTCAGAAATCAAAAAGTGTCATTTAAAAGGTGGGGGGATAAAAGGATGGAAAAAAATAATTTTTTTCTAAGGAAGCCCTTGTCCAGAAGCACAGCAGTTCTAAGCTTCGTTAGCTACCAACTTTAGTCTGAAGAAAGCACAATATCCTACCTTTGAAAAGAACTCACTTGCCAGTGACTGTGAGATGGTGTCTCCCTCTGGTCTTTCAACAGGACAGACCTGACTTAAATTTGGAAATGGCAGCAGTCCAAGCAAATGCGCTCTGTCCAATGCTAGCACAGCCAAGAACTGCCTCTAAAAACAAACCTCAGGAATACGGGCTGTGACCTTCGAAACAGGGGGTAATTTAGACCCCAGATTGAAGACAGGTGTGAATTCAAAGCGATAAAAAATTTACTGTGACCTTCTGATTAGTTCTAGTACTAAACAAATAACTTCTAGTATTGAATCCACAGTATCCATAAAGACTAATACTAGTCTTTCCACACTCTAGATGGAGAAAAAAAAAAGGCAGCTTATTACCTATTAATGTAATGAGTTTGGGGATGTACACCGATGTTGTAGTGCACACTCTAAAATGGGTATCATGCTAATTTAAAGAAAACAAGACTTTTAATTTTTTCCCTTAGGATTCTTGAGAACTTGGAGCACAACTGAACTGACAGATGAGTTTCTCATCCCACTCTGCATCAAACCTCGGTATTTAATGGGGAAATGGGCATTCCCTCCAGCAGACCAAATTTACTAAACCCCTTATAAGCCATGTTTGACAGGCAGGAATGCGAGCGTTATTTGCGCTTTATATCAGCTAAACAATTTTACTGACCCGACTGCTTTAGAAAGAAATGGAAATAAAACTTACAGACAGCTAAGCCAGAAAAAAGTCATATATCACTGTCTGTTAAATCAGTGATTTAATAAAAGCCAATGGGAAATTTGCTGACAATTTCTCTGATGCACAAGATGTCCATAAATGGTAAGTTAAACTTCAAAAAATTCATTCAAAACCCAATGAGAAAAAACAATGATTACATTAATTCAAACAACTCAATTACTGAAATGCCAGTGCACTTACATGCTTACATAATCAGCTTTCGTTCCAAACTCTGTAAGCAGAAAATACCATAAAAAATACACTGAGGTCATCAGAAACCAGTAAAAATCCTAAAAAAAAAAAAAAAGAGTGCAGGATACTGGACAGAGCTCCTCATTACAATACAGCCATTTGAAACAGAAAACAGAGAAGGGGTTCAGGAGAAGGAATACAATAACCCAAGTGGAATTCTCAAAAGAAATGATGGCAACTGGTGTTATCAAGAGTGCCCCAGAAGTGCTGTGCACTGGCAACAATAAACAAGGTTTGCTGAGGGTGGGTACCCTCCAGAATATTCCAGTACCAGCTGGAATATTCTGAATTAACTTTTTCTAGTGCGATTTGAACCAGCTACCATCTGACAAGAGTTACTTGAAGCAACGCCTAGAAAAAAACAGTGGTTGTATTTCAGTCGTCATTCCCACGGCGCCCTGCTCACGTATTTACGTAACTAAAACAACCACCTCGCGCCGTGGCACTGGGAGTGGGGGAAAATATGTTTCTAGCGCCCCCCAAAAAAGAGTGGACTTGAGAAAACATCTTGTCACAAACCTCCCTGCCGCTTTTATTCAGTTACAAGCTTAATTTCCAAGCTCGAAAATCCTGCAGGTGTGTTCGGGGCACCAGCAAAGCGGCCACGATTAGCAAAACGGAAACGCTCGCTCCGCCGCAGGTGTTTTTCAGGTATTTACCCCATCGAGAGCCGCCTAAAACACGGCGAGAAAGCGGAAGCTGGCGCGTGGAAGGGAGAGGAGCTGTGTAGCCAGCAGCCCGCGGGGCCCGGCCCAACCCGCCCGGTTCCCGCCGCCGCCGGGCCCTACCTGGCCGCCGCCGTCACCATGGCCACCGCCGGAAGCGGCGCGCCGCGCATGCGCCTGAGGCCCCAATGCCAGGCAGCTCCCCTGTGACGCAAACCGGAAGTGGCTGCCTTGCCCTTCTCCGGTCCGCCCGGAGGTGCCGTCCGGCTGGGGAACGGCGCTCCCCGCACGGGGTTCCCGCGCCCCCCGCTTTCCCACCCGCAGGGCAAAGGATGAGGTTTGGGTTTTTTTTTTTTTTTCAGCGTGAGCGTGGGACGGCGGCCGCTCGTACGGGTAATGCTTATCCCGCGTCATTCCTCCCGGGCCGCCTCCGGATGAGCTGCTCAGTGGGGTTTGCTGGGAGTGCCCGAGGGAAAGGGCAGAAATGGCAGGAGGGGTCAGAACGGGCAGGTGGGTGCACTTGGCTTCACCAAACACCTGTAGTTCTGGCTCATTTTTACCATCAGATTCAAGGTGCAGAAATTTGGCCGTTCCTAAGCAGCTGAGCTGGGTAGGCTGTGTCTGGGGCTTGTTTTAGGGGAGTCTTCTGTAATTAGCAATGTGACCTCCAGACAGGATCTCTGATGAGCTTGGAAGGCTCCCCGTTTGCGATGGTCGTTATTTTCTCTGTGTGTTGCAGGCTGCATTGACCTATGTTCTGTTCTCTCCCCTGATACCTCCACATGAAAACTGAAGATGGAGAAACTGGATGTGACAGGACTGTGTGCCATGCGTGACTGTGAGGAACAATGGGTGAATAGCTGTAGAAGGAGAAAAAGAGACATTTCTGCAGAGTCCCTTTCAAAGCCATGATCGGGGGAAGTCTGATCTCTCTGCTCTGAAATGAGCTCTCTGCAGTGATGCTCCCAGACTGCAGCAGGGGTATGGAAGCGTTTCAGTTTGTGATTAAACGGGGCCTGAATGTGCTAAAAGTTCTGTAGCTTTACATCTCCTCGTTGAGGTAATGGCAATGGCAAAGGGCCACAGAGCAATGCCAGGCTGTGGCAAAAATCTGACGGGGCTTTTGGAAACATGAGGCCCGGGTTGATCCCAAAATCCAAATGGACTCAGTGGTGGAAGGAGCTTTTGACCTGAGGAAGGAAAGGGTGCATGGCTTCCTCCCAGGACAGGGAGCTTTTCCACCTACTTGTTATGGTGTGTGTGAACAGAAGATAGATACATTTGCAGAGGCAGTCAGAAATACTTTAGCATTATCCAAAGACAAAGGCAGTTAATCCTAGATGTCTTTCCCTGTGAACAGCAGCGAGATAAAGGATAGCTTTTTATGACAGCTTTTTGAAAGACAGTTTTATCATAAGTTTTTATGATAACGGTGTTTTCTGTTCCTCTCTTCTAATAAGGAAAATACACTCACACAGTGAATTAATTTCAGTAAGTTTGCCATTAGTAAGGGATCAGTGTTTCAAGAAAAGGAGTAAAACATTTGATATCTTCCTAAAAAATCACATTCTGAAATGTCTGATTGTAATGCACTTTTCTGGCTTCAGGACCAATGCAAAATGAATGGATAGAAGCAATAATTTTATTTACACAAATGCTACTGAAAAACAAAACCCAAACGAAAATAATTTATGTCATGGCTACTTTAGTGGAAGCTGTAGTCTGTTCAGTCTTCTGAAAATCAGAGCTGGAAAAAGTCATTTCAGACCACCTTTCCCATCAAAGCGGCGCATGATCAGCTGTAGCCTAATGCACTCTCTTTCTTACAGGACAGCGGTTGCCCAAGAGCTCTGTCCAAGCTCCTGTGGTCAGTTACGTGGTATCTGCTAGCCTATTTATTTTAACAGGGAATAGTCTGTCACCAGACTGGCAAAGTAGCTTGAAACCAAGTGCTCTGCAGTGATTGTACAAGTGGCAAGTCATAGAGCAAAGGGTTAGACTGGATTTGCAATTAGAGAAGGAAATTCACCGAACTAAGGCTTGACTTTGTTGCTTTGATTGGGATTTTCTATTTTCTTAGCTTAACCTAGTATAATTAGTAACAAATTCACCATTGATTTAAACCTGCTGATTCACACATTGCACACGGGGTGGCGGTTAGGTGACTTATTTATGTTGACATGCCTTTGTTTACAGAAACGTTAGAGGGGAGTATATCCTGAATTGAGGATGTTTTGGAGACCATACAGGCCTGACTGGTAAATGTTGGTATAGTCCTCTAAAACTATGCCTGTTGTTTTAATTAGCATTCAGTCTTTTCTTTCTCACTGTGTCAAGCCAGAACTGCAAAGGGATGGAATCCTTTTAGCATTTTAACACTTCCTTGACAAACATCCTGCTGTTCTGTCGCTGCCCTCCTGAAGTGTAAGAGCTCTTTTCTGAGGAGAAAAGAAATCTCCAAACTCAAGGAACTATTTGCACTTGTGTTTGGTGACATCTGCTTTGCTGAAAGCATCACTGAATGCAGATCTACAGCCTTTTAACCCTATTCTCTAGGGCAACAATTTTGTGCTCTAGTTCTTCCAGGCTCTTATTTGTCACCTGTTTTTCAAGGAGTATAAGATATAGCTTCTCTCTTAAGAAAAGCTTTGGTTGCTTACCCTAAGAGCAAAGAGCTGTGCAGAAGTCCCCACAGGATAAAAAAACCTTCCCTAGGGAAAACATCCTTGAACTAGTTTGAACTGAAAGCTCCCAATTTCACAGTGCCTTTGGCTGGAAAATGTGAATGTTCAAAGGGCTGTGGCATGATTAAAGATTTTCTTGTCTCAGCCTCTGATGCAAGAGTACAGACCCTCCTCCTCTCTTCCCTGCTTGCATAGTTTGGGTTTATAGGAGTGAATGAAAACAGACTAGGGTGATACGGGAGGAAACGGAGACCAAAGGTGGAAAACAGAGAAGAAAGGGCATCTTGGGGCTTTTCCATTCTTTGCCCCTGCAGCTCTGTGCAGATCAGTTCTTTGTGCCCCTTCCAGGCAGTGGACCCAAGAAGATGGTTTTGATTTTTGCACCAGTTCTGGTTTGGAACTGGGCTCTGACTCAAGAACATCAGACTCCTTTTGGAGACCTCTTGCTGGACACCTGGTCACTAGTCTCTTAGCTCTTTCCTCTGGGAGGATTTTGCTCTAGGTTCAGTTCACAGCACTCACAGGGGTTTGCACCACCCGAGTCTTTTTTTTGTTTGTTTTAAATTAGTTTCTATGAGGTTTGGTTCTACTTGTTTATAATTACCGTCTTCTTCAGACCCTGCACTGCAGCATTTCCAAGCTCAGTATGAAAACAGTGTAGACTTAGTGAGACTGCATTTCTGATGTATTATCGTGCTGCAAATCCCTGATCTTTGCAGCTAACCCAAAAGCAGGGGAAGAGGGAGCAATATCCTCTCCTCCTGCTTCTAAAGATCCTCAAACATATACCACAACCATTTTAACCCAGTTGAGCACCTTCAGGGGAGATGGTGATATTTTGTCACATACAGAAATAGAGATGTGGCAAAGCTGAGGTACCATTTCCATTGGTTTAATTGCTGAGAGGACAGCTCAGGCCTGGAGTATAAAAGTATCTCCTACCTGCAGCTTTGCTGATCTTAGGATACCCAACCCCGTCTTTCCCTGCTGCCTTCTCTCTTTGGTTTAGAGTGGTAAAAGCAGGTAAGGTCTGAGAGCTGGGCCCCCAAGAGCTGTAAGGCAACAGGCACATATACAGGGAAGTGTATGGCTTATTCCCCTTCTGCTTTTCGGTGAGTTAGGAAAGAGTTAAGTGACAACAGAGGGAGAGGCTGTGCTATTGTTCAGGCATCCCTGGGTCCAGGGTGGCTGATCTCTATTCCCGGATCTGCCTCTGGCTTCCTGCATGACCTTGGACCGGTCACTTACCTTTTCTTTTCCTTAGCTTCCAAATTGTAACATGGAAATCATTCTCTTCCTGTGGTGCCTCATTCCCTGCTGGTTTCAGGGTGGCTGAGATTCTCTGGTGGGAGATGATGGGAGGAGGAGAACACATTTCCAATAGAGAAATATTTACACGGAGGGTTGCAATTTTTGGACATGTTCTTGTTCACTCAGATGCAGCGCGGGCTGTGCATATGGTGATATTTGTTTTTTTTAGTAGGCAAACCTGTGGTAAAAGTCAAATTCCATTTGTCGTTGATGCAGCTGCCCGAGAGCAATGCCAGCTGCAGTGATTCTTTTCTTCACTAGATGGTGCTTTTGATCAAAGATTTGATTAACAGCAGTTCTTTTCTGCACAGAATTTCCTAATTTTTCTTCCCTGGTCTCCATTCCTTCCCTTCTTCTTTCTGTGCTTTAACACTACGGGGGACACTTAATGATGCTGGATATGGAGCAAGACTAATCTGGTGGTAAAACAGGCTCCAAGCCACCCGCACCCACCAGCCTGCTTGTATACTGGGCTTTGGTTTCTGAAGCGTGTATCAGTGCTGCTGGGCTGTGGCAGAGAATTGAATTCTTTCCGTGTTTTCTATTCCCATAAGGAAAAAGCTTCAAAGAGCAGGTCCCCTCCCCCTCTCTGCTGGTGAAGGGCATTTAGGGAAGCTGGGAAAAAAAAAAAATCCAGCTCTGACAGACGCATTTATTTAACAAACCACTGCCTTTCCCTACCTCAGCAGAAGATTGGTTGTTTCTTAAAAAGGGAATTGCTGCTTTTATATCCATCTTTGTATTCAGGAGATGGTTACCTAGCCAAGGTCATTGCTGCTGCATGCCGGTATCAAGCAGCGAGCCAGCCTCCTCTTCCTTGAACGAGCACTGATTTCAGCAAGGTAGAGAATGGGAACAGGCTTGAATCTGCCAGTGCAAGGTCCCAAGCCGCTGCTGGGTAGAGGAAGCCACAAGAACAGCCTTTCCTTTTATAAAGGCAGCAGAGGAGATGAATGAAATTGTAATCAAACGTTTCCTGTGCAGACATG